ACCAAAACCAAAATCTTCTTCTCTGCTCCTGGGTAAAATTAATAAAGTACATAGTTACGATGAGAAAGATTTCCTGTTCTACAGTAGTGAATTTCATGGCCTTTGGACAGGGTTTCTGGTGTTAGGACGGGGCTTAAATGATTATATAGTTAACATGCATTAATTCTTTGAAAAATACATAGTTATGATGAGAAAGTGTGCCTCACCTAAAATCGTGAACTTCATGGCCCCAGGGTTAGGAGTTCTGGTGTTAGGGTGCAGGGCTCTTTTGATTGTATAGTAAACATGCATTTTTAAAAAACTAACTTCATGCGTAGTTACAATGAGGAAGAGTGTCTCTTTGGAAATAGTGAATTTCATGGGCAAAGGATCGGGTTGTGAATTTCATGGCGCAAGGATCAGGATTTCTGGTGTTACTTAGCACTGGTGGGGCTCTAATCATCTAATGGTGAAATTGCAATAAATCTTTGATAATTAATCTTCTTCTTTGCTCCCAGGTATTTAACAAACTGACTACAGACATTTAGTTACGATATAGCTATGATTGTTCTTCCAGAATTGTGAATTCCAAGCCCCCCGGAACAGGGGTATCATAGAGGGCTGGGGGGGGGGGGTATATACTAAAAATGAATTCTTTGAAATCCACTCCATGATGTTAATCAAACATTTATGATGAGCAAAAATTGTGAATTGTGTGGACCTGAAGGTCAGGGGATCTTGTGGGGTGGGGACACCACTGAGTAATGCTGAATATTACTTAGAGTGGTTGAAATGCATTTTTTTATTCCCCTACTCTGTCTATGCTTGTAAAGTTACCAAAATACATAGGCGTCGGAAGCGGGGGGGGGGGGGGGGGGGGGGGGCTAGGGGCTTAGCCTTTTGAACATTGCTGCGTAGGTTTAGCCCCCTACTTTCCACAGACACTTTGCAGAATACATATGTAGGTTTAAAATAAAGAATTCAAAGATGTGCTGTTTTGGGAAAAAAATGGTACTGAATATCGAATCTAACACCCCCCCCCCCCCATTGTCATGGCCTTTGGTTTAAACATAACCCAAAGTCAATTGCAAAAATCATTATTTTGGATTTCAATGATTTATTCATGATTTATTCTGTAATATTTTTCATGAATTAAGTCTTAAATCCTAGCTACTTTCATAGCAGAAAAGTACTGCTTGAAAAATGTCAGAGATGAAAACTTTAAAATATCGGAAATGAAAACAGTTACGGAAATAAAATGCAGCCATTGAAACCATGCACCATGAGTGTCTTGAATCTAATCCACAATATCGTACAAGTTACATTAACCAGTATCTATGGAAAACATCCTTAATTTTGTATCATATGATTTTGCCGTTCACACATACAAGAAATTTTGCCCCATTTTAAATTCGCCTAGTCACAGTTCTGCTTAAGAATTTATACTATGTTTTTTGAACTTGCCCCATTTTAAATTCACTTACATGTAGTTGTTGCCATGACAACAAGTGATGGAACATTTCATATATATATTGTCAGCACTCTCCACAAATACAATCATCAACACATTAATTTTATATTCATTTCCATGACGAACACTGATCCAAAAGTCAAATCTGTTTACAGGAGGCATAGGGTACATTGGTTGCCATGCAATGGGAATCGTTGCCATGTGTTGATTAAAGACGAAAAAAAAATTAAGATTGACCAACAGTTCATTGTCAGTTTTGCTCAATCACATTTTTCTGACTTAATTTGAATAAGCCTAAATAAGATTACACGAATACTCGCTAAATTACCTTTCTTTGCCTTGTTGCTATGGAGAACCTGCCGTTGATATGGAGATAAAGAATTATGCAATATTCAATAATGTGCTAGGGAGACCGAATTTGATTATACTATTTTAAAATTTGTATCTTGTTTATCATAAATAACCGTTCATTTGATTTTTCCTTAAACTTTTTACATTGTTTCTCATTTCATGCATCAAAAAGCCCATTTTTGTTGCTAGGCAACAGATTCGATTTTCAAAAGAGCCCATGGATTTGACTTCAAATTCTGAAAGAGAAATACCTCTGCTTTTATGTGAGATACATGCGACAACTGTATTAATCTGGCTATTTTTTAAATTTGGCCTTGAATATTGCCAAAATCACGAAAAATGCTGAATCAGCAAAACTTGTAAAACATGTTTACCTTCCAATGTCTACCACAGAACTGACTAAAGACCTAAATATTTTTTCATTACATTTTTAGAACACAATAAATGTGTATCTTTATTACACCCATAAGTAAGAATAATTCTCATGGTATTTACGTATTATTTTAAACCTCAAAGATAGGTGATTTTTTTGTCCTTCAACACTGAAAAATCCGCCGGTTGCTAAGGAAATTTCTTTGGCCGGGTTTCCATGGTTACCATGACTCAAAACAATTTTTCATTTTACATACATTGTTCATACTTCAAAATAAATCTATGAGTGAAAAATTATCAAATTCTGAAAACCTACACTTTTTTACAGTTTTGACTGATTTTTATGTGGACTGGTACATAAGATACATCTCTATTAGTCAACAAAATATCTCTATTAGTCTATGTGCTATGGGCTAAAGAGATATCTCTTTGCTAAAGAGGTATCTTTCTTATTGGAAGATAAAATTTATATCAAGAATAAATAGAAAAGGGGCTTGCCAAAAATTTTGCTTTTTTTGTTTCTGTTGTTTAGAAATATTGTGCTTGACTTTAAAGGGTGTCTGTCTTTACTGGATGCATCTGTGTGTTTAAATTGCTCAGAAGAGGTTATAACAGGTACTTGTATTCTTATTATTCATTTTCAAAAAAAAATAAGTTTTACTTTGAATAATATAATTACAGAGATCATTATGTCTCTCAGTGAATATTAGCAATAAATTATTCAGCAATGCTGTACTAAAAGAGGAAAACATAAATTGTATTTGAAAATGGCCCTGTTCAGAAAAATTGTAAAACCATATACTAAAGGAGACTTTAAAAAAGTATGAACTACTTGTACTACCATGTATTTTTCTAAAAAAAAAAAGAAGAAAGCAAACGATTCTATTATTTCAATAATATAATTAACTTAATGAGTGGTATGTCATGCGAGGGTTGTCAAATGAGTGATAACATGTACCATGCAACACACAGTAATGATACATGTGATGAAAATATTTCTTTATTCGTATATTTATCTGGAGAATTATTTGATGAAAAATTGATTTGTCGGTGCTGTATATCTTTTTGACATACATGCGAATGTCTGGTGGTATTTTTATAGTCATTTACTAAGAAAAAATTGACGAAAATATACAATTGGGCAACTTAAATATGTCATTAATTAGAATTCGCTATTGGTGATAATAAAAACATTTAAGCACAATATGCATTTTAAACATACACATGAAGTTAAAAAGCCTGAAAACATCTTAAGTTTACAATATTATGCATAGAATTTAGAAGCATAAAGAATGCCTATTTCAAATCAAAAGAGAGTAAAAGACGGGTCAATATTTTTCACCGATCAAAGCATTGAATGGTTTTGACTCGTCCACCGGTTTTTCTTTCTTTCTCACTTTTGATGAAGTTATATTATTTATTATTCATTTGTCATCAATGCTGATTTTGGGATGTTTTGTCGCTAAAAGTACAGTTTGTTTTCTGTACGCAATGGTAAATACTTTTTACCATTATGATGATAATTATTATTTGTTTCATCTTTAACGAAGGAAAGAGGGTTTATACATTAGGAATGTTGTTATTTTGTGTAAGGTTTCCTTATTATAAAAATTACAGATGAGAATATATATCTGGATTTTACACCTACTGACAGATGTAAAGATATTTTTAGATATATACTCATTTACTCTTTATTTTGATTCATATGGTTGTAAAAATTATTTGTTCCATTTTTGATGAAGGAAAGAGGGCATTCATTTGCTAGGGATGTTGTGTTTTTGTTTAAATTAAGTTTCAATATTCAAAAAAAAAAAATATTTGTTACAAATGAGAATATATCTCTACAATATTTTACACCAACTGACAGATGTAAAGGTATTTTAAACTAAACACTCTATAACTATTTATTTTGAATGTCTAAAAATTGAATCAAGAAATAATATTAGTATTCTAAAGCAATATATATGTATAATCAACACATTTCTGTTGGTAACCTGCTGGAAAATTTCATTCAATAGGTTGTTAAGCTAAATGTAGCAATGATATCTTTCGGAAATATTACATATTTTGATTGTTTTACTTATATCGAAACCAATCACATTACGCATTCTATGATAAACAACATATACCAAATACATTTGATGTGTCAACCGAATCCTTTCTGTTAATATTATATAACATTTTTAATTATGGAATATTTGATTAGTGCTTCTCAATCAGACCGACAGATGTAAAGATATTTTTAGATATATACTCATTTACTCTTTATTTTGAATCATATGATCATAAGAATTATTTGTTTCATTTTTAATGAAGAAGAGAGGGCATTCATTTGCAAGGAATGTTTTGTTTTTGTTTAAAGTTTCAATATTAAAAAATTATATTATTTACAGATGAGAATATATCTCTGGATTTTACACCAACTGACAGATGTAAAGGTATTTCTAAATAATCACTCGTTCACTATTTATTTTGAATGTCTTAAAATTTAATCGAGAAATAATGTTAGTATTCTAAAGCAATATATATGTATAGTCAACACATTTCTGTTGGTAACCTGCTGGCAAATTTCATTCAATAGGTTGTTAAGCTAACTGTAGCAATGATATCTTTCGGAAATATTACACATCTTGATTGTTTTACTTATCTCTAAACCAGTCGTATTACGCATTCTATGATAAACAACTTTTCCCAAGTGCGTTTGAAGTGTCAACCGAATCCTTTCTGGTAATATTATATAACTTTTTAGTTATGGAATATTTGATTAGTGCTTCTCAATCAGGGAACCAAGCCCTTGAATATGAGATGAAATTTGGCACCTAGCATTGCTAGGATGCAATTAACGATGATTGATTATTCCTTTTATTTGTCATGTTGATTCCTCAACTGAAACAATTGTTGGATCTGTCATTGGTGGCGCTTTGTTTGGAGCAATCATATCAACCATTGTGTCCTTCTGTGTTCGCAGAGGTGAACAGAGAAAATGGGAAAGGTAATTTTTAGGTTAAACCTCACTATTTACAATAGTTACTTTTAGGAAACAGTGGGTATTCTTAAAATGTGGAACGGAAAACGGAAAAAATAGTAAAATGGAACATTATTTTGTCATTTTTTCCTTATCTTGAATTTCTTTGGTTGAAAAAGGCCCCTAAAGTGAACTTCAAGACATTTTTTAAACATAATTTCATATACAATGAGCAGCACACCACTGATCCAAAATAAGCATTTATAGAAAGAAAGAACCGTTTATGAAGATTTTAAAACATATTTCATTTTTCTTTTGGATCAAGAACTGTGCTCATACATTATTTCTTAAGTGAATGTTTTGAAATTGATCTTTTCTGCAAAATTCAAGAATACTGCGATTTTAAAAATAATTTTCACAAAACATTGACTCTTAGATAAATTTTTCATCAAGCCGAGGAAAACCATGCTGATGCTGTCACATCACTCTTTTTTTTAATAGTAAACTCGGTATACCAAGTCAATTTTTCTGAGTTTTGAATATGTGCAGTCACGAAGAAAGATATGTTATTTCACAGAAGATTTTGAAAAAATAATTCATTCCTCTTAAAGCAAATGAGCTGGCTTTTTATGTTTTTCTTTGACTGTTTCATTTAACATTATTCAACATTATTTAATAACACTCGTGGCATTTCAAACAAAATAAACATATTAAACGACTTTTGAAATGTATAAACAAACTCTATATATTGATACTTTAGCAACATATCGCGAAATGAAAAAAAAAAACATAATTCGTTTCTGGTATAATTTATATATTCGTCAACTGATTTCTTTGTATCATAAATAATGAAAGATATGGAGATAATGAACAGTATTCAAGGTCAAAAGTTCATTCAACAATACAAAATTAGAGCAGAGCAAACACGTACCTCCAAAACATCAGAGGTGGGATCCGGTGTCATGGAGGAGTAAGCATCCCCAGCAGACCGGTCACAACCGCGTGTACCTCTTGTAATTGTCAAGTAATAAAGAAAATTATCAGTGTGCATATAAAGGCATAATAATAAGTATGAAAAATCAGTCAGCATTTAACGTAATGATAATTGTTGATTTTTGCTGATAAGGTCCTTTGATCGATCATACAACTTACAAAATGAGGATTTCAAAAGAGATTGCTAATATCCTTGTTTTAGTGAACTGTTTGTCTCGTTTTAAAAAAATGTTTATAGGTAGAGCATGTTTCTGCGTATTCAGTCAAATGACAGGTATAAACCTAAATATTTTTGCAAAAGTAATGGAAAATGACGGTTGAAAAGTTAGTCATTTCGTTTGTACTCGTAATATTCTGTTTTAATATCATATTTTCTTAGGATACTAGAAAACGATTTTTTTTTCTCGACAGATTAAATGCATCTTTATTTTTTATTTTTTTAATTTGAATACATTGTTACAGGAGAAATCGAGTTTTACACAATCTGCAAAATCCAGCCTATGTGCACGATGATGATGTACTGACACACAATGATCTTGATCAAGGAAAGAAAAAAAATGCATTATACAGCGAGATTAATGATGAAATGGTATATTATTTTTTCCATTTAGTTTTTTTTCATTTGAAATGTCTAGCGGAGATAAAATTAAACAGAAACATACGCTGTTTAAGCAACGTGATGTTTGATGATATACATGTCATTCTTATCAGAAATGGTTATTACACTAAAAAGTTAATTAATGATTTAAAGGTTATTTTAGCTTGTCGACTGTAGCGATGTTTACACTTGATTCAATAAAGTTTAAAAAAAAAGGATATCTACGTAAAGTTAAAATGTCAAAACAAAAGAAATTAATTTTGTGTATGGTTAAATCTGACCGTTAAACATCTTCAACCATGTAGAAATATGTACTACACTACTTGTATAACATTATTCCAGTAAAATATTTCCACAAGAATATATGTCTCCAGTACAGATATCTACGATGACTACAATTGTATGTAGAGTGTGTATGTCTTTACAGAAATTCATATATACATAAACTCTATACATATATAAACATAATACCTTTTAAAGTATTACATTTACCTTCAAATAATTTTTAGCTAAATCTCCCAACGTCCTCCAATGCAACTGGAAAAAAAGAACAACAGAGCTTCATTGAACATCTCTCAACAGCAGACGAAAAGCATGTGTATAACCATTTATATGAAACAGATAAATTAAGAAGAAGCGATCTTCAAAAAGATGTTACCATTCCAGAACGGTGTTCTTCAGAAATCGATGTTGCCATACCGGAACAATGTTCTTCGGAACTGATTGATGAAAAAGGTGCTGAGTCATTTAAAGCTACAGAAATTGAAAATTCATCGGAAAAAGTTGCCAAATTTGAGAAAGGGTGTGACTCTGAAAGGCAAAATAAAAGCACCGGTCAATACTATGTCCTGGAGAAATTAACGCAGTTATCAACATAAACATAGCCTTATTAAGATGTTTATAACTATAATTAGACTACAAACTAATGCATCATATTGAATTATTATCCACCAAAATTTGAAACTCATTTTGATTGGTTTAGTGCATGTCATGTGCATAGATACGACTCCCAGGCGCGCAGTGTTCCATCTTCGTTGACACTCAGTGCTTGCAATTGAGCAGCGTTTCATCTGACTTGTTTAACTTATTATTAAAATAACAAATCATAAGCAAACAAACTCACATCAACTGTCTCGTTCAACTTAATCATTTCGAAAGTTTTATGGCCGATACAATGAGCTTGTCAGCAAATACATTTTATCACTGAGTGTAATTCTAACTGATGTTTTACAAACTTCTATTTGCGTCATAAAAACACATTGAATTGTGGACGGGTTTCTCTGTTATTTTATGGTGTGTGTGACCGGTCGCCAGGAGATGCTCACTCGTCAATGGCACCTGGGGCTTGTTTCTCAAAAAGGCCTACGACCAGGCGTAAGCTTAGTCCGGACTTAATCAGTGACTAAACCCGGAAGTCGGACTTAGTCGGACTAAGTTGCGTTTCACAAAAAGGCGGAGACTGATACCCCATTCAGACTGATACCCCATACGACATGATTTACATACCTCAGTATATTTTACACATATTAAGTAAATTTACTCTCATGTGCAATTTTTGTCGTATGAACGGATTTACTCATATGCAAATTCTGCACAGTGGAGCAAATTTACACCTGGTCAGGACTAGGTGCAAATTAACTTTTGCATACATGCTGTCGCAAATTATTAGTCCATGTGTGTAAATTTTGTCGTATGAACACGCAGCAAATTTACTTATGTATGTATTTTGTTTTGTTTATTGAATAAATCTCCATTTTAAGTGTTGTGTCGGTTGTGTATACATTGGTGAGTAGAATAAAGTTGGTTAACATGGTGGCTACTAGCTATAGGCAAAACTCTAAACAATGAGCCATTATCTCCTCCAAGATACATTTTGGAATTTGCAAAACCGAGGGCATCTTGCACCCTTTCTGCCAAACTTTTGTTTATATCTTTAAAGATAATAATAGTTGTGGTCGCTAACTATGGCCTAACTAAGTGCCCTGTAGGATCAATACATGTAAGCAGTACCCTTACTATGCAATTTGCATCCTTTGGAATGCTCCGAAGCTATGATAGGAACATGCATTCCATCAATTGTTCGAGCCCAATTACCGTTTAGGTCTTGATGTCTTTCTTCTACCCTTTTCTGTTTTAAATCGAGGCAAGCTACTCATATATAAGTTAATGATACAGGAATTTGAATAAACTCGTTGAAAGTAAGCATTTGTATGCATCTTTTTTGGCACATAACCCCATAATGTCAAGGGGTTCATATTAATTTCCTTTTCACATATATGTATTGTTCAAGGATTGTTTGAGATCGATAACTATTAGTTTTCTTCATCCTTTTCATTCTCCTTGAAAATACATTTTAATTACATGACTGATGTTTTTCACATGACCGGTCGGCAGGGGATGCTCACTCCTCCATGGCACCTGATACCACCTCTGATGTTTCGGGGGTCCGTGTTTTCTCTGCTCTTTTTTTGTATTGTTTTATGGACTTTAAAATTGTATACTATGCGTTATCCTTCACTCTAATTGTTAGTCAACTGTGTACACATGTTCACTGAATTGATGATGGACTTTCCCGTCATTTCTCGATCATGACAATGAGCACACGGCGGGTGTGACTGGTCGGCAGGGGATGCTCACTCATCCATGGCATCTGATCCCATCTCTGATGTTTTGGAGGTCCTTGTTTGCTCTGCTCCTTTTTAGCCTACCTGAGCCGAAGGCTAAAGTGAGCTTTTCTGATCACATTGTGTCCGTCGTCCGTCTGTCCGTCCGTAAACTTTTCACATTTTCGACTTCTTCTCAAGAACCACTGGGACAATTTTAATAAAACTTGGTACAAAGCATGCTTAAATTAAGGGAAATTTAAATTGTAAAAAAAAAGGGCCAAATCCCTTCACAAGGGGAGATAATCAAGAAAAGACAAAAATAGGGTGGGGTCACTAAAAAATCTTCTTCTCAAGAACCACTAGGCCAGAAAAGCTGAAACTTATGTGGAAGCATCCTGGGGTATTGTAGATTTCAAATTGTTAAAATCATAACCCCTGGGGATTTGGCGGGGCCACAATGGGGAATCAAAGTTTTACATAGAAATATATTGGAAAATCTCTGAAAATCTTTTTTCTTAATAACCACTGGGCCAAAAAAGCTGAAACTTATGTGGAAGCATCTTTGGATAGTGTAGAATCGAAATTGTTCAAATCATGACCCCCGGGGATTGGGCGGGGCCACAATGGGGAATCAAAGTTTTACATAGAAATATATAGGAAAAATCTTTGAAAATCTTCTTCTCAAGAACCACTGGGCCAGAAAAGCTGAAACTTATGTGAATGCTTCCTGGGGTAGTGTAGATTCTAAATTGTTCAAATCATGACCCCCGGGGATTGGGCGGGGCCAAAATGGGGAATCAAAGTTTTACAAAGAAATATATAGGAAAAATCTGTGAAAATCTTCTTCTCAAGAACCACTGGACCAGAAAAGCTGAAACTTATGTGGAAGCATCCTGGGATAGTGTAGATTCTTAATTGTTCAAATCATGACCCCCGGGGATTGGGCAGGGCGACAATGGGGAATCAAAGTTTTACAAAGGAATATATAGAAATTAACTTTTAAATCTTCTTCTCAAGAACCACTAGGCCAGAAAAGCTGAAACTTATCTGGAAGCATCCTTGGGTAGTGTAGA